ACACACACACACACACACACACACACACACACACACACACAGAGGAGGAGGTACAGTATGATGCATCACATGACTTCAAAAAGCAGCTCTATTCCAAGTAAATTATAACTCAATTTAGATTTATACTTCAGTTTGTAACAACAAAAATCATGTTTACAGTAACACACTTACAGTGAAAACAGAACAGGCAGGTGGACAACATTTACAATAACTATCACACATTTTATAGTTTAAGCTTAATATACTGTAACTATCTTTTTTTTTTTTTTTAATAGTGCTTTAGTTTAAATATAACTATAGTTTTATAATTTTATAATTATAGTTTAAGGAAGAATTCAGAATTTCATGAAAAGAATGAAATTTCACCATGAAAAAATAAATGTTAATTTTTAGGACAATTTTTTGTATTGTGACATTATTTTCATGACATTTAAGAATATTTTCCCTGCGCAGTCTCATTACGTTTGTATTTTTTAAATAATTCTCATTATTGGATCATTATTAGTTTCTCATCAAAATAGAAATACTGTAATAGAACGAATTAAATTCAGCATAAATAGTTCAATAAATTAAAGCTAATATATAAATACTTTACATTAACAATTATATATAAACAATAATATTACACTAACAATATTCTTGCATTATGTTTATAAAAATACAAGCAAGTTTTTTACATTATCAAGAAAATAATGCCACAATGCAAAAATGCAATATAATTTCTTATTCCTTTCATTTAATTTTGTGGCGAATCACAGGAATTACAGCAGTTATTTGGAAAAAAACCCTAAAAACCTTTTACAGAATTCATGCACTGAATCAAACATTCCTGATTCTTCACATATATTTGTTGTTGTTTTCACAAACCAACGGTCAAGTCTAAACTCTAGTGTGTGTCACAGATGTTGCTGTAGTGTGAAGGTGTACCGCTGTTCTGGGATCAGTGTTGATGGAGTTGAGTCTCCTCATGGAAACCTGCCGCGACAGACTGATCATCTCCTCCCTGAGACACAAACACATTCATGCTGCATTGAGAGTTCCTCTGGATGCATTTCTGAGGTCAAAAGTCACAGACTCACGTTCTGACGCTGAGTGCTCGCTTCAGCTTCCTGTTCTTGCGTCTAAGGTGACAGTTGACGAAGACGATGGCGATCACAATAACGATGACCAAAACCCCGGCGACAGACGCTCCTATGATGATGAGCAGAGTCTCTGACAGGCTTCCCAGAGCGTGTGCAGATTCAGATGCATGTTCTAAAAATAGACAACAAAAACGGCTGCAGACAAAACTTCTCGGTTTTATTCCTCTCTATATTCTGAAGGTTTGTTCGTATTTCACTCACACTGGTTTATACAACATTGTACTCCTAATAAATGCATGGTGAAAATGTGTTTTCGAGTGATAAAAAGAGAAATCCAGAATCCCCTCTCTGGAAAAACTCTAATATGTCAAAGAAAATCAAACAAGAATTTTGAACCAATGTTCAGTTTTCTGTTCTGGAAATGTATGGAAATGAATGCATAATTAATTAGACAGTGCATCATTTGCATATCCAAACATAACATTTCAGAAAACTTGTAATACAGAATAATTACCTTAATGTACTGTAATAAATCAGCTTGGGATGGTACGGATGATATTAGTTACAATATTTGCCCTATTCACCTGTAGTGTCTTTAATTTAATAAAAAAAAATTTGGGTTAAATTATTATTTAAAAAAATTAAAAATTTTAATAAAATTACAAATTATATTAATTGAAATGAAATATAAAATATATAAAAAAAAAATAAAATAATAATAATAATAAAAAAATAAAATAAAATAAAAAATATAAAATATAAAGCAAAAAAAATAAAAAATAAAAATAAAATAAAATAAAATAAAATAAAATAACCACATGGGGGTTAGGGTTTAAGTTAATTGAAATTAATCACCACATGGGGGCAACAGAATCACAAAAGTAGACAAACGCTGAGTAAATTAATGGAAAGTTTTCTTCACTGAATGGCGGTGGTGTTTCAATTGGTTTCTGAGTCACTGTCGACTACGATCAAGACCTAAATTTACACGATTGTGCAAATCATTATGAGGAAGTCAGAGAAACATGGGCCGTGTGGTAACAACCAACAGAAAAACATCCCGAGAAAATGACGAGACGGGCCACAAACACAAAGACAGAAATCTTTCCAGAATCAAACATCATCTTGGTTATTTTAAGCACATTTTCTGCTGCTGCCAACAGAGCTGATGTTGGTACTGCTATTTTTACCTACATTTCCAGTCTTCACTCCAAGCTGAAAATATGTGTGTGTACTAAAGAAAAACTAAACCGTAATCAGTGATGCTAATAATAACCTAGATAACTTACCAATATTAAACCGTGGCACAGTTAGCAAAAATGTATATACTGTATACACACTACCAGTCAAAAGTTTGGGATCAGAATGATTTTTAATGTTTTTTACAGGAGTCTCTTCTGCTCATCAAGGCTGCATTTATTTGATCAAAAATACAGGGAAAAACATAATATTGTGAAATATTTTTATGATGTAATATAACGTTTTTCTATTTTAATATACATTAAACTGTAATGTATTTCTGTGGTGCGCAGCTGTATTTTCAGCATCATTACTCCAGTCTTCAGTGTCACATGATCTTCAGAAATCAGTATAATATGCTGATGAAAACCCACGCGGTTGTGTTCATCGGTCAGTGTGACGATCGGGTCTTGTGTCATTTGTTTCTGTAGTAGATTAAACACTTACTTCCGATCTCCACTTTAAACTCGGCTTTAGCGATTCCCACTCTGTTAGCTGTCTGGCAGACGTACACGCCTTCATCCGTCACGTTCAGAGGCCGAACAAACACCAGTGTGTCCTCTTTAACCAGCACTCCTGCTGGCAGACGACCGTCCTTTCTGAACACACACACACACACACACACACACACACACACACACACACACACACACACACACAGACAAACACTCTCACACACACACACACACACACACACACACACACACAGACAAACACTAGTGGATGCAATTATCTGTACTGTTCAAATAAGAGAGTTTAAAGCAAAAAAGGCACCAACAAATGTTCTTTGGAGTGGGAACTATTAGATATATCTATGTGAATATGTGTTAAACTGTAATGTATTTCTGTGATGCGCAGCTGTATTTTCAGCATCATTACTCCAGTCTTCAGTGTCACATGATCTTCAGAAATCATTCTAATATGCTGATTTATTAGAAACATTTCTGATTATCATCAATGTTGAAAACAGTTGTGCTGCACAATATTTTAGTGGAAACTGTGATGCATTTTATTTTTCAGGATTCACAGATGAATAGAAAGTTCAAAAGAACAGCATTTAATTGAAATAGAAATCTTTTGTAACATTATAAATGTCTTTACTGTCACTTTTGATCAATTTAATGCATCCTTGATGAATACAAATGATAATTTCTTTTTTGATCACAGAAATAAATTACAGTTTAACAGATAATCACATAGAAAACAGCTGTTTTAAATTACAATAATATTTCACTATTTTTACTGTATCTTTGATCAAATAAATGCAGTAAATAACTATTTTGAAAAAATTTTCAGAAAATAAGACTTAATATCTTATGCATATGACTTTGCATCTAAATCATGATTTAAGGATGTTCAGATATTTGTTCTGAAAAAAGCAAAACAAACAGAGGAGGAAAATCACTTTTTGAAAGACTGCATTTGCAATCCTCGTGCTTCGGTTTAAATGTGCATGAGAGTCGTTTTTCACCCTTCCTCCATCAGTATCTGTGTTTAATCTGCTTTAGGTGGATTTAACCCCTCAGACAGGGCCGATACCCCACAACACCACACGACTGCAGCGATGCCAAACACCACATTAAACGCATCTCAGGTTTCGAACCTTCGCTGTAATTATCATCTGAGTATCATGTGAGTCCTGCACGCTGTTGCCAGTTCATTCTCCAGCACTACCTGAATGAAAACACCTCCTCAGCAACTGTATGCATGCAAATATGACCAACATACCATGCAACCTTAATAAAGCACCAACACGCATGATCTGAGGACTCTGCAGAAGCATGCATGACGACGCACACTGGATGCATTAAACGCTGTTAATTGCAGTTGATGCGCTGCATCTTTAATCCAGTGCAAAGCCTGTGTTTCTGTGCCGGTTAAAACAATCATTACAGGACAGGAGGGTTATTTAGGGCTTAGCGTGTGTCTCGATACACCCCACCCTCATCATTTAGCATCCTGCTCTTTTTCTCTCTGTCGTTCTCTTTCTTTACTGCCCCGTGCATGAAAAGCGCCCTTTTTGCTCTTTGCTCTCAGGTTGCAATGCAACACTGAAGCTTTTATTTTATCCTGAAAGGAGCATGTGAATATGCATCGCTGCAGTTCAGAGGCCTTTGTGATTGTGCTAAAGAGAACAAAAGGAAGAGGAAAATAACGAGAAACACAAAGAAAGTGGTGGTGGAAAACTAGTGTTTTTGTAGTGATTTTGCCATGCCACTAGTGCAATTCGACACTCGTTTATGCACACAAACATGAGAGTATTTGCCAAAATCACAACCACTGAACTCACTGGCTGTGTTAATCTTCAGAAGTCAGTCAGGGCTGGGTAATATATAGCTAAAAATATCATAAATACTAACAAATAAATACTAAATAATTATAATAAAAATAGTAAAATAATAAATTGAAAATACAAAAATAAACACTAATACTAAAATATTCAAAAAGTAAAAAATAAATATTAAAATAAATACTAAATTCTATTGCTAAAATATTAAAATAGCAAAAAATAAATATTAAAATAAATACTAAATTCTATTACTAAAATATTAAAATAGCAACAAAAAAAAATATTAAAACAAATACTAATACTAAAATGGTAAAACAATAAAAATAAGTACTAAAATAAATACTAATACTAAAATAATTAAATAGTAAAACAGCAAAAATAAATACAACATACTAAAATAAATACTAATACTAAAATAGTAAAAAATAAACATTAAAACAAACTTTAAATACTAATAATAAAATGGTAAAAATAAATATTAATTATTAAAGCAAACTCTAAATACTATTACTAAAAAAAGTTAAAAGTAAATACATTTTTTAAACAAATACTAAAAAATACAAAAAAAGCAAAATAGTAGAAATCTATACTAAATACTAAAATAAATAGTAATACTGAAATAGTAAAGATAAATATTAAATACCAAATACTAAAGTATATTTACCCCACTAACTGTTTTCCCTAGAGAAGAGTTTGATGTAATCATTTCCATTAATAATAATAATAATAATAATAATACTCAAACATTTCAAACATAAAATGCGACTCAAAGTGCTTTACATAATCAAGAATAAACGGTTAAATAAACAACAACATTACATCCAATAAAACAAATACATCAAGCTTACAATATGTATACAATATATGTAAAACAATACAGCACATTCAATAAAACAGACACTTTCAGTGTAAACTACCTGAAGGCCAAGTTAAAAAAAAAAAGTTTTTATCTTAGTTTTAAAAATACTGATTGTGCTAGCTTCCCTAATATCTGAAGGTAATGTATTCCATAATTTAGGAACATAATTTACGAAGGCTGCATCACCGATTTTTTTTCTTATAGAACTAGGAACCTCTAGTAAACCTGTATTGGAAGATCTTAAAGTTCTTGATGGAGTATAATTAACAAGAGAACTGGCAATATAATTAGGTCCTTGGCCATTACGGGCTTTGTACGCAATAAGGAGGACTTTATAATCTATTCTAAATTTTATAGGAAGCCAGTGCAATGTAGCTAAAACTGGTGTTATACATTTTCTTTTTTTAGTTCTAGTCACTAGCCGAGCAGCTGAGTTTTGGATAAGCTGAAATCTATTAATTGATTTTTGTGGAAGACCAGTAAAAAGTGCATTACAATAGTCAAGTCTACTCGAAATAAAGGCATGAATTAATTTTTCTGCATCTTTCTGGTTTAAAAGAAGTTGAATTTTAGCAATGTTCCTTAAATGGAAAAATTATGATTTTGTTACCTTATTGATGTGAGAATTTTAAATCAGACTTGTGACCTCTGAGCGAACCCAAGGAGTCAATTTGACCAAATTCTTATACACCATTTCTTTTTTGTCTTAGGACCTACCAACAGAATATCAGTTTTATCCTCATTTAACTTAAAAAAATATATTACTCATCCAATTATTCACTGCCATGAGGCAGGTTGTAATGGAGTTAATTAATAGCCCCCATGTCATTTGGTGTATCATCAGCATAACTGTGGAAACTTACATTGTTTTCTCTGATGATGTCACCAAGTGTCAGCATGTATAATGAAAACAACAAAGGACCAAGACAGCTTCCTTGTGGGACTCCATAATGGAATTTATGTTTCTCAGACACATAATCTCCAAGTTGAACAGTGAAATTTCTCCCCTTAAAGGGGTCCTATTATGCTTTTTCACTTTTTCAACTTTAGTTAGTCTGTAATGTTGCTGTTTGAGCATAAAAAATATCTGCAAAGTTACAACGCTCAAAGTCCACTTCAAAAGGAGATATTTTATTTAACAGAAATCACTTTTCAAAAACTACAACGAACGACTTGTTTGGACTACAACGCATATTTTCCGGGATTTGTGATATCACAAATATCGACGAATAGGACGAGACCTGGTTGAGCTGCACTAGAGAAGGCAACGAGTGTTATCACTATGTCGGAGACACGCTAGCTTTCTCAAGGCAGACGAACTTAAGAGTGATTACAATCATCCGGGTTTAAATTGCGCTCAAATGGATTTGATTTTGACACAATATTTACACTGAAGCTCGCAGGCGGCTATGGTAAGGGGCGTGACATTTACCGACCAGGCGCCGAGTGCTGCCAATCACAGCACACACTGGCCCAGCTAACCAATCACAGCACACACTGGCCCAGCTAACCAATCACAGCACACACTGGCCCAGCTAACCAATCACAGCACACACTGGCCCAGCTAACCAATCACAGCACACACTGGCCCAGCTAACCAATCACAGCACACACTGGCCCAGCTAACCAATCACAACACACACTGGCCCAGCTAACCAATCACAACACACACTGGCCCAGCTAACCAATCACAACACACACTGGCCCAGCTAACCAATCACAACACACACTGGCCCAGCTAACCAATCACAACACACACTGGCCCAGCTAACCAATCACAACACACACTGGCCCAGCTAACCAATCACAACACACACTGGCCCAGCTAACCAATCACAACACACACTGGCCCAGCTAACCAATCACAACACACACTGGCCCAGCTAACCAATCACAACACACACTGGCCCAGCTAACCAATCACAACACACACTGGCCCAGCTAACCAATCACAACACACACTGGCCCAGCTAACCAATCACAACACACACTGGCCCAGCTAACCAATCACAACACACACTGGCCCAGCTAACCAATCACAGCACACACTGGCCAAGCTAACCAATCACAACACACACTGACCAATCACAGCACACACTGCCCCAGCTAATTAATCACAACACACATTAACCAATCACAACACACACTGGCCCAGCTAA